GGTACAGTACCGGTGCGGGACAGATCTGTTGCTGTGTAACACTGGGGGACAGATCTGTTGCTGTGTAACACTGGGGGACAGTACCGGTGGGGACAGGTCTGTCACTGTATAACACTCGGGTACAGTACTGGTGGGGACAGGTCTGTCACTGGCGCACAGTAACACTGGGGAGACTGGGGGAAGTGACTACATCTTTAAATCCCTTACCATCCTTCATCACAGAGGCAAGCCTGACCTCGTACACCAATTTGCCATCCGCTCCCTCGGTTTTAAACAATCGAGTATTGTAAGCACTGATACCCTGAGGGGGGAGAAAACAAAACAAGACAAATAATTCCATGAATGCTTTGCATTTCTAGAGAAATTGTTCCTCCTTTCACAAGTGCTTCACTACTGCAGTTGGAGGGTGGGTACAGAAAAAGAGTGTTACTCTGCTGATACCACTAGCCCACTTACTCCCCATAGTCCTACAAATTTGCCTCTTTAAATAATAGTCCAATGTCCCTTTTGAAAGCCTTGATTGAACCTTCTTCCTCTATACTCTCACATACAGCACATTCCAGATCCTGATCACTTGCTGGGAGGAATAGAGAGGGCTGAATGGTCTCATTTTGCTTTGTAAGCATTCTGGGATCCTGTGACGATTATACATCAACGTCCTAGATCCAACACTGTAACTGCAGCTACAGCACAGACATTTTATCATGGGGGTCTCAGGGTTCGATTGTAATGACAAGCCAATGCCAAGTCTGGATTGTAAACATCAAGGCATTAAGACTTTTGGACTTGAATCCAAAGCAGGTGTCTTCTCCAAGGGTGGTTAAACAAGGACAATTTGAGGAGTGAAACTCTACAGAACCACACAAGTTAACTCCACTATCTGTGTATGGAGGGGTTAATTAACCCAGAATCATACTGCACAGAAACAGACCCTTTGGTCCAACTCGTTCCATGCTGACCCAGTATTCTAAATTAATCTAGTCCCATTTGCCAGCATTTGGCCCATATCCCTCCAAACGCTTCCTATTCATGTACCCATCCACATGCCTTTTAAATGTTGTCATTGTATCAGCCTCCACCACTTTCTCTGGCAGCTCATTCCACATACGCACCACCCTCTGCGTGAAAAAGTTGGCCCTTAGGCCCCTTTTAAATCTTTCCTCTCTCACCTTAAACCTGTGCCCCTCTAGTTTTGCACTCTCCTACCCTGGGAAAAAGACCTTGGCTACTTACCCTATCCATGCCCCTCATGATTTTATAAACCTCTATAAGGTCACCCCTCAGCCTCCGATGCTCCAGGGAAAATAGGCCCAGCCTATACAGCCTCTCCCTCCAACCCTGGCAACATCCTTGTAAATCTTTTCTGAACCCTTGCAAGTTTCACAACATCCTTCCTATAGCAGGGAGAGCAGAACTGCATACAGCATTCCAAAAGTGGCCTAACCAATATCCTGCACAATCACAAGATGTTACCACAACAGATATCAAAACACTCTCTGCGCGTTCAAATAATTTCAGTAAAAAAGTATTCACTGTAGGTTTTGTGTGTTTCTCAGTATTGACCTTGTCAAAAAAACAAGAATTTGGACAATATTCAGGATAAACCCAACCGTTTAAAATCAGTTACAATTGCTGAAGATACTTCAGTGATACTTATAAAGATAACATATCACATAACAATCAGGCACCTAACCTCAAAACTAAGCTTCCGAAATATATTTGAAAGCTGCGCTCATTTCCACCTACAACAGCAAGGGGGCAAACTCCCGGCATACACTCAGCATCAGCTGGCACTAAGGAAGGAAATTGGCTTGACACAGACAAACAACAAAACCCAATTTGCACAACATTCACATCTTTGCAGTTCCCGTATTTAGTCCATCTTTCATTTGGTCACTGATAAACATGCTTCTGAACGAACGACGGAAGTACACAACCTGGAAATTTCGTTAAGCCGCGTTAGGTCCAATGGTCATAATCTCAGCGAAGGGTGGAGCAGGCCGTTAGGGCTGAATGGCCTACTCCTGCTCCTGTTTCTAATCTTCAAGGTGAAGAACTGACAACGACATTTAGTTTAGGGACACTTCCTTCAGGACAAAAATTCAAAACATTAAAAAAAAAATCCCAGGATTAAGATCCTGGAACTTGCTAACAGCATTATGGCTGCGTCAAATCCATCAGTTCAAGGAGATGGTTCACCATCACTGTCTACTGGAGCAATTAGAGATGGACAATAAATGCTGCACAACAAGCAACGCCCAGAATTTATTTTATTTGTTTATGGGATACGTACAATTTCAGCTACTCAGACTGCAGAAAAGCTCCTGCACAAAGCCTCAACACCCCAGGCACAGCTCCAATAGGGCTTTAATCTCCACCAAAGCACTGCAACAAGCCCCAAGCAGGAAGATTTACCTACCTTCGAATCCAGGAACTTCTGTGCTAGCTCCGCATCCTTCAACACACAGTTCCCAGAGAAATAGGTGGTGATGCCCTGGAAGAAGGAGAATGTTGAGAGCGTTGAAGGGTTTAGTGTCACGTTCCCAATTACCCACAGCACCCAACACAGAAGGACCTGCCCACTAACAACAACTTGCATCTAGACACTGCTTTGAAATTTTTTAAACGCACACCCCAAGGTGCTACACAGATGGGTTAAAGCCAATTATGTCACAGCACTGAGACCCCAGGACAAGATATTAGATCATATCCGAAGTCAAGGAGGTAGGTTTAATGGAGCATTGCTTCAAACCAAAAAAACTTCCTTACCTTCTCTCCAAGACCCAGCTGCTTGTGTCTGTCATCCAGAGAGAACATGAGCTGACCACACACCTTCCACAGGCACTCGATCTCTTCTGGCTTCTGTTTGTAGGCTGCACTATGCCACACCAGCGCTTTCAACTTCTCCTGCATTAACACAAAGGAACAATGATGGGAGAGGGTGTTTTATTTTGGGGTGGGAGTGGGGAATTTGCAGAAAAGGAAATGCAGTGTGCAAACCCTGACTGTTCACACAAGGCCGGACTTGCATGCGACACAGCATAGCTAGGAGTTTAAAGAAGTGAGGAGAAGTTTGAGACCATTCTACAATTTGATAGGATCATGCTGCACATAAAGGGACAGACATTGAGGTGGAGCACCACCCTAGAGCTTTTTGAACAGCCAAGCAAGTGTGAGGGGCCAAGTGTCTTGTACTCCTAAGTTTTAGGTTCCACTTTCCTGCCCAAACCCTTTCTTCCCCCGAACCTCTTGTTTCTCCCACTGCCTCAAATCTACCTAATGTAAATGAGTTGCCAGAGCCCTCTGGAGTAGGGAATTCCAAAGATTTGCCACCATGCAAGTGACAAAATACCTCATCAGTCCATTCATCTTGAGACTCTGACCCTCTCCCCCACACAGAGACCTACACGCATGCAAACCCTCTAAGAATTTAGGCTCACCTGACACAGAGAGCTCCCAAGGCCCTCAGACATTTCTGAATTCCTACAAGATGATTGTTGAGTGGCATGGTGGCTCAGCGGTTAGCACTGCTGCCTCACAGCACCAGGGACCCAGGTTCAATTCCAGCCTTGGGCGACTGTCTGTGTGGGAGTTTGCACATTCTCCCCGTGTCTGCATGGGTTTCCTCCAACAGTCCAAAGGTGTGCAAGTTAGGGTGGATGAGCCATAGGGAATACAGGGATAGGGTAGGTGTGTGTGTGATGCTTTTTGGAGGTTTGGTGCGGACTGGATACAGCCAAATGGCCTGCATCCACACTGTAAAGGATCCTATTATCCTCCAAGGATTGCGAGCCAGCTTATTCCCACCCACCCCCCAATTTCTCCATCACTCTGCAGGCCCCCTCCCCAATTACAAGACAGCAGACGGCATAGACCTCAGCTTCTCCAGCCTGCTCAGCTATTTCGTAAGATCATGGCAGATCGAATTACTGCACATTCTCAACTGCCTCGATCACCTTTTGGCACCTAGTTCATCGAGGACCTTTCCACATCAACCTTAGAAATATTCAAAAGGTATCGTTTTCATCATCTTTCCAGGCTCATGACTCTCAGAGGAAAAAATTTCTCCTCATCCCTATCTTACATCGCCAACTCTATATTGAAGCAGCAAGTTTTAATTCTCATTTTCCGACTATCCCCTCCACATCGAAACCTCTCAGGGACCTTGTATGCTTCAATCAAGGCATCTCCTATACTCCTAAACTCCAGAGGATACAAGCACTGCCCTTCCTCATAAGACAACCTGCCTATTCCAGGTGTTAGTCTGGCAAACTCTCTCTGACTGGGACTATTTCCCGTCTATGTTTTACTTTTCACGTGGATTAAGCATTTGGAAAATCCAACTGGACGGAGGCTTGGTCCCGAGATGCAGCTGAAGAATAGCACCTCAAGCAGTGCAGCACCCCTTCTGTACTGCACAGGGCTATTCCATACCCGGTCGTTCCCATTCGATCCGAAAACCTCCAGGGTCTGATGGAGGGAGCGTCAGTGGAAAGGCTAGCATTTGTTGTCTTTCCCAGTTACCCCTCGAGATGGGAAAGCAATGGCAATCCCATTGAACTACTCATCCAGGCTAATTCTCTGTGGACATGGGTTCAAACCCCACCAAAGCAGTTGGTGGAATTTAAAAATTCAACTAAAAAAAAAACAAAAAGAATTTGGAATTGAAAGCTGGTCTTGCTGACGGTGACCACAAAACGATCATGGCTGGTTGCAAACTCAAATCTTACCTGGTCTGACCCACAGCAGCTTGGCCGACTCTTAACTGCCCTCTGAAACGGCCCAGCACGTCACTCTGTACAAGGGGCAAGTCAGGGATGGAAAACAAGTTCTGGTTTTGACGCCAACCCTCACATCCCAAAGATTAACAAAAAAGCAGGTGGCGATGAGCTGCATTCCTCAGCACATAAGAGCTGTCAGGTTACCCAGGGTAGTCTCCTCTAACACATTACAGCATGGCTACAGCTTGCAATCAGGAGGAAGGACTTGAGGAAGCGGGGATTTTTAAATGTCTTTAACACGGTACCTGAGGCAGGTTAGGCACAAATTTGGTGTCTCCGAACGACTTGTAATTGCCCATGTTGGAATAAACGCCGGCTGCGTAAACTAGGAATGCCTGGAACAGAGAGGAAACATCACACGCTCAGACGCTGAACACTGAGGGTCCCTGCGAACAACAATTAAGTAGACAGTGCTGCTGCAGGAATGAATGAGCTTTATTATCAAATGAATACATGAAAAGTCACCACTTACAGCGCCATCTTAGGTACAGAGTAACTAGGTACAATTCTTAGTTACAGGATAGAGAAAAAAAGAAAAAGAAAGTTACCTTACAGCTGTACACGGTGTAACCATAGATCAGAAAAACCAAAGAAGCAAAGTTAAAAGGACAAACAGCACAGTCTCTCTCCAAAGGCTGTTCGCAGCAGGACCAGCGCAGGGACCTCCACGTGGTCTGACCGCTGACTGTCATTAAACTCCGCGCCAGGCTGTGACCGCCACCCTCCGCTCCGCCAGTGACCCCACTTCAGAGGCTGGGCCCAGCTGTCCGAGGCCAAGAGCCCGAGAAGGTGGAAGAAAAATCGCAGAAGGGAGGAAAAGAGGGAGAAAAAAGAACAGGCAGAGCGGACGAGCTACGGCTGGAGTGTCTAATTCCACCACCATCCCCCTGGAAAGGGACTGTGGCATAAAGCAGAATTCTCAACAGAAACACAGGATACTTAGAACCCAGGGGTGAGGCTGTTCGGCCCCTCTCTGTAGGCACCTAGCTCAGCTAGTCCTGCCGTGCTCTGCAACGCTGCAAATAACTCACTGCTCCAATTCCCCTTGGAATACCTTGATTCAATCCATCAGACTCTCAAGCAGTGAAGTCCAGATTTGCTGTCAAGGAAACAGTGGGGCGAATGGTCTCGTGTTACAGACATTCTGGGATGGTGCCCTGATTTCCCACCTCTGTCCCGGATCAAACGGTGCATTGTTACAGCACAGCCATTTTAAATTGGGCTTTCTGCAGGGGGAGGGGGGGATTAAGAGTCAAATTTTAAAGACGCCCAATGCTTTTAAAGACATTTAAAACTAGCCTATTTCTAATATTTCTGGGACACCAGAACACCAGATGCCTTTGGGGATGGGGAAACCAGGATAGCTCAAGCCTTGGAATCTGACAGAACAGTTGTGTGGCAATTTCAGCAGCCTGAAGGAGTTAATTATCCCACAGCTATCAAGTCACCTTGTGCTTCCAACTCTGAAGCAAAAGCGAAACTGAGTGAGAATTAGTTTTCTGGAGCAGAAACAACACGAGATGGAGCGAGACCAACCTCAGCGAGGGGTCAATAAGAAGACTGAGATGAATTACACAGACAGGTTGCATCAACGACGGTAAGATTTAAAATGTTTTGGTGAACAGGACAGCAGGTTTGGTGAGAATACAGCTGACACGCTGTAACCTTCCTTCAGGTTTGGACAGCAACTCTCTCACGTCCAGCATCACCAGGCAGGTCGAAGTGACTAACCACACTCCTGCCTCGGTTACAGATGACCGGGGTCAACATCCCTATGTGGGAGTTTGCTGTGTACAAATTGGCTGCCATCTTTTGTATGACAGTGACCACACTCCAAAAAGCAGCAGCTCATTGGCTGTGCAGCTTCAGGGTGTCCTGAAGTGGTGGAGCAAACGGCGTTAATAGAAACTGTTTTTTGTGGTCACTCACAGCAAGGGGCTCCTGAGGCCAGGGGGAGGAATGCCAACAGGGAGGGGGTGAGAATACTGATGGTCTCAGGCAACGTGCAATATTCAAAAGTGCAAACCCGATTAATAAGCTGCTAAGGCAACAGAATGTAGGGCGGGGACTGGGAAGTGACATTTTAAAACAAAAAAAGGTCACAATGTTCGGTGTTTACCAGTGCGTGAATCTTAGTAACTTCTGTAAGGGTTTATCGATGCACTGCTCCCTAATTATAAAGGAAACCACTGCGGTGACTCCAATACTGGGAATCAAAGTACATTTGATTAAGTTGATAGGGCAGGATTACAGCACAAGGCTTAGCCCAGGACATGAGGGCAACATTTAATTGCAAATAACACTCCCTCACAGCACTGAAGCACCCCAGGTCATTTCAGACACAGACACACACACACAGGGACACACACACACACACACAGAGACAGCATTGATGTGTAGCACCCATCTCTACAGTCTTCTCAGGACCAAGTGCACCATGCTTCCACTCAGGTTCGATAGGTCCAATTCACAATCTGCAGCGATGCTCGATGGGGCAGGCCTGTTTGGAGTTTGAGCCCGCCCTCCGATACATCAAACCCTCTTCTGCACACCCTGAGCAAGTCTCTTTTCTTTCTCCCCCCTACTCTTTTTGGTGTTTTCCCCTACCTGACATTCAGACCCTCCCCACCCACCGTGGCCGGTCCCAGCCTGGTCTCTCGGTGCCATGTCCGTCAGTCTCTCAGTGGCTCACGGCTCGGCCTGCGAGCGGATCTTGCCCAGGCACGTTCCCGAGGCACCGGGGAGAGATCGGAGAAGCTGCCATCTCAGCAGCAGCAGTGGTGACATTGAGAAGAGACAGGCGAGTTCTCCCGGAGAGCGAGATAAGCAAGGTGCTCAAAGACTGCTGAACTTTTAGCTTATTCCTTTATTTTCCGGGTTTAAACTACGAAAGACTTTAATGTAAACTATCATCTATTTCTTTATTTCTCTACTATTCTAAGAAGTAATATTTAACTTTCCGACTCTCATTTCTCTTTCTACTTTGTACCTAAGATGTGTTTGGCGACATTATACACTTTCCACTGTATGTCTGTACTTCTGTACAGGTGACAATAAAATGTAAAGTCTAAAAGTCTTGTTGTACACAGTTCTTTCTAGAGTCAACCATTTCCTTTTTGGTTAATTACCAGGGCCTTCAATAGGACACATTGGGTCCTATTCACTGAAATGTCAACTTTCCTGCTCCTCTGATGCTGCCTGGCCTGCTGTGTTCATCCAGCTCCACACACTGTATTATCTCCTATTCACAGTTGTCCCTGAAGCATTTCTGCTGTCAACCTAGGAGTCTCCTGGAAGTGCTTCAGGAGCCTGGCATCAGATACCCAGAGTGGAGGTGGATCTGGGTGATTAGACCCTCAAGGTTGGGCAATTTGGCTGAGGAAAGGACACTGCAGTAGGACTATCCTTCTTCGCACTGGATTGGAGGATCTGGTGAAGGTAGTGCTGTTGCTGCTTAGAGATGCCTGGAGGTTCTCCAAGTTTTGGAAGCCTATGGGAGCACAGGAATCACTGCTGTCTAGGAAAGCATGACCTATATCTTGGATTACCCATTGAAGACAACACAGTCACAAGCCATTCAGCCCATCATGTCATGTTCCTGCACCGCACCAGCAAAAGGTACAGTTGCATCGTAGAAGGCCATTCAGCCTGTGCCGGCTCTTTGAGAGCACTCCTCCACCATGCTCTAACCCCAGAGTCCTGCAGATGTTGACACTCAGTCGACGAGCTGTCAGAAACAAGGCCTTAGGCTCACCCAAAGGATTATCCCGTCTGGCAAAGCAGCATTTCCACAGCAGGTCTGGCCACTTATATTCCAGAACAGGGCGCAAAACCCAGAGAGGTCAGACAGCCCTGAAATTATTGAGCCAAGCTCAGAAATGTGACGTAAAATAAATCAAAGGCGATGCCAACGACAACTTAAATTGATAAAGCAGATGCAACACAGCAAAATTACCACAAGGCACTGCCAATCTGACAGGGCTTGAGCCCAAGCCCAATATGGAGAACCAACCTTGGTTTTTAAAGGAGGGGAACAGAGGAGTGGAGAGGTTTAGGGAGGGAATTCCAGAGCTCAGGCCCCCAGGCAGCTGAAGGCACGGCCCCCAATGGTGCAGCGACTGGAATCGGGCGGTGCTGGAGGGGCCGGGATTGGAGCAGCACAGAGATCTCAGAGGGCTGTAGGAGATTACCAGGATAGGGAGGGTTGCAGGGACTGGGGGAGGGTTGCAGGGATGGGGGAGGGTTGCGGGAGGGTTGCAGGGATAGCGAAGGGGGGGGGGAGGGTTGCAGGGATAGCGAAGGTGAGTGGGAGGTTACAGGGATAGCGAAGGGGTGTGGGAGGTTACAGGGATTGGAGCGAGCATAGGGATAACGTGATGCACAGGGTTTGAGGTGGGGGTAGATGCTGGAAGTAACAGCTTCCCAATATTGAAATCGGAACAAAGCTTTCCACCATATGAAGGGTTACCTGGTACTCCTCAGATGTCATCCCAATGGCAGTGGCAGACTCCTGTAGCTCGGAGAGGGGCTGAGCCCGGAACAGTTTCTGAAGCAGCACGTAGATGGCGGGAGACTCTGGGGAGGTCTGCAGGAGGACCACCAGCCCCCCGTACCAGGATGCCCGTGAGATGTAGTGAGCGTACAACTTCTCCTCCTTCGACAGCAACCGGAAGGCATTCTGGCAATCCAGCACCGAGATGCCAATGTCGTTGGGCAAGATGTACTGTGAGTCCACCATTCTGTCTGGTCTCGGTCTTTTCTTAATCAAAACCTGATAACGCCAAGGGAGAGACAATTAACCAGATTCAGGGGAACACAAAGGCCAGTCTGTTAAAACCAGCTCTGTCACACGACAAAAGCTGATCTGATTGTGACCTGCTCTTTTAGTTTTCTGTCACCCCACCCTGCTGTAACCTTCAACTCCCGAATAGATCCTAAACCTGTTTGACTCAGCGTTCAATGGATGCAATGACCCATCCTTTCCACAGGATTCGGAGAAGAAATTCCCCATTTACTTCATAAATCTATGTGAAATCTACCTCACATTGCCTGACAGATCACAACGCCATGTTTAATATGGGAATATTGACTGTCATTCCCCTCACAAGACAGTAGCAATCACACCTCATGGCACTATCAGCCCTGCTCCCTTCCAGTACAGGCTGTGGGATATTTTACATCACACTCTAAGGTAAGGTCTCACTCTAATGCATCATCTAACACACAGCACTGCTCCTTCACACCCCTCACCTCGCTCTCTCTGT